CTCTGGGGCCAACATGCACAGACCCCCCGGGGAGGAGCTCTGATCGTATATTACCTACTCTGCGAGACGTCATTTTCTACGGTAAGATCAGGGATTAGGGTAGGAGATTAGAAATACCTGTCTAATTTGTAGGGGTCACGTGTTGATGTATGGGTCTGTTTGGCTTGGTGGTATAGCGATGGGCTGGCTTGGCGGTATATAGATGGGCTAGCTTGGTGGTATAGCGATGGGCTGAGATGGTGGTATATAGATGGGCTGGTTTGGTGGTATATTGGTGGGTTGAACTGGTGGTATAGCGATGGACTTGCTTGGTGGCATATAGATGGGCTGGGTTGGTATTATATCGATGAGCAGGTCGAGTCGTAAATCGATGGGTTTGCTTGGTGGTATAACAATAATCTGAAGTGGTCTGTTTACCTTTCATGGACTGAACTGTGTTGATGGTATAGCGATGCTTGATGGTATATCGATGGGCTGAGTTTGTGATAAAAAGTTGCTTGATGGTATATTGATTGGCTTTCTTGCTGATGTAACAATTGTCTGAACTGGTCTGTTTATCATTGATAGGCTGAGCTGGTGGTATATTGATGGGCTTGCTTGGTGTAACAATAAGCTGAACTGGTCTGTTTACCTTTTAACTGGTGGTATACTGATGGGCTGGCTTGGTGGTACATAGATGGGCTAGCTTGGTGGTATATAGATGGGCTTAGCTGGTGGTATACTGATGCGCTGAACTGGTGGTATATTGAGGGGGTGGTTTTGTAGTGTATAGATGGGTTGGCTTTGTGATAAAGTATTGATGGGCTGAACTGGTCTATAACTTTCACTCTGTAAATTAGGACCAGGATACATGATTGGAGATTAAAACACCCATCTAACACAGGATGCATTCCTATTCATTCTCTAAACTAAGACCATGTATTAGGGTTTGAGATTAAAAATACCTGTCGAATATAAAATACATAACATTTTATCCTCTAGTCTAAGTCCAGTAGCTATGATTGCGGATTACAAATAGCAGTGTATTTTAGTCTGTTTCATTTTCATTTTGAATTATCAAGAACAAGATCGATATTGTTTTCTCTTCATTATTTAGTTTTCAAATAAATTCACACGTTTTGTTATATGCATTATTTAGAATAGCAATAACTTACTCCGATACTGTTATCGTGGTTAGAGTCAGAGTTAGGCTTGGATTGAAAAACAGAAGAACGAGTATCATAAATTTTGCGTTTTTTTTTATTATGATATTTTACTAAATAACCCAGTCTACTATTTGATTCGTATTAGTATTAGCTGTAAAGAAATAACTGTTTTCTAACGAGTATTACAAAAGTATTTTTTACCGGAGCCCCCCCCCCCCCCCCCCCCCCCCCCCAATCCCCCCATAACTAATACTGCTGCTTAAAACTTGTATCAATTAACCAATACTACTTGCTCTGTAACAAAGATATTTACGAAGACGAATCACGTTGTCGTGAATATGTTGAACAAAACGAATGATCTGCACACTCAACACTAGCAGTAGAGCGAGATTAACGCAGTCATTTGTGATGTCCGTATGTTTTAGTGTTCAGTCAGTGTGGATGGAGATAGATGTAGACGTAGCGGCAAAAATCTGGATGATTAACATAGTAGTGCTTGGCTAGACGGCAGAGAAAGGACGAATGGGAGAAATGGGCATGATTTGCGGTTTGATCTTCAAGGTTTAGATGTAGTGAGTGGGTAGTGGCGTCCAGTGTTTATTTCAGACTTTTATCTCCAGCGGGTACTTGAAGTTTCGTGGAGGGCGGACACATTTTCCGGTTTTCCGGGGGGGGGGGGGGGCGGCGGACACTGAGAAAAGTATATTTTTTCTATATAAAGAGAAGATATTATATCTCCCCCCCCCCCCCCCGGCACGAAGAGAATTCTGGTGGCGTCGAGTCTTCGTCTTTACAATAATAGATGTATGCAAATCTATACGCATATTGAAAAGCCACCATTTTAAATGACCTACATAGATGGTGTTACAATTCGTGCAAAATCGGACAGAATTAAAAGTGTTACAAGCCTAGCAGTATGGGATTGTGTCGTTGGTCTTAATTTGTTTTGTTAGATTTATCTTGCGAATCAAAAATTCTTTTACGGGTGTTTTACGTTTTCAATAATGGTTGCAAAAAACATGGAATGTTTACTTAAACCATTTTTTTTTCTATAAGTGAAACAATACATTTTGACTCAATTGTTTTTAGAAAATATCATACACCATTTTAAAATATATACTGGAATCATAGCGTACTAGTAGTATATTCTTGGTTGGACAACGGCTTTAGAAGCGAATACAAAAAGAAAAGCAGGCTGAAATCGGACTCAACGGCTTATATAACGTATATCAAGTTGACACGTAATACTTAATTGTGTCTGAGGAAATCAATTTCAACATTACAATTAGAACGAAGAAGAAGATTCCTAATTTAGCGCACACAGTTTTATTTGTATTGTCTACTTTGCTTGATTAAATTTATTACATTTTCAGCTTTTTAAAAAAAAATTAGTCGGGCAAAGCAAATATAAATAAAATTTGTTAAAATTATTGACTTGTTAAATTATTAAAAAGGTTCATTTGAATTGTTTAGCTGGTCAGAAACTGATCAATCAAAAGTTCGTATCCTATACCATTACTGTGTGAGAGACGTATCTAGTTCCTATTGATGTACAAGTGCCAAATTTTCTTAAACTTGTATTGAATTAAATCCTTAATAGACTCCACAACGTGAATTAGAGGTCTAACCTGCAATACGCCTAGGGAAAATCTACTTCCGGTTTTATTTTATTTTTTCCCAGAAGGCCGAGTGAATCTTCGTGTCCGGGAGGAAGTGTTTAAATCAGGGATTTTATTTAAGGTTAAAGTTGAAGGTCATTCAATCTTCACCGTGTCAGTCATGGCACCCTAACCCTCAATTATCGAGTTACAAGAAGTAAAAACAGAACCCAGTTCTTGAAATAACCCTCCATCGTCTTGTTGTGTAATAATTTTATTTTCTTTAGAAAACAAGACAGAAAATATCACAGCAATTTCAATTTCACGTCTGCAATTTAAAAAAAACAACTTCCGGCTTAATGTTGCTGGGACGACCAGTTAATCTTAAGTGGCGGGGGGGGGGGGGGGGGGTCGATAATTTAATTTACGTAACGGAGTCCAGTGAAAAGCAGCGAGCAGGAGAACCCGGTTTAATTATGTCCCTTTCCTAGTTAGCTTGTATAGTGCAGGGAGGTAACAAGGGGGCTTTCATTAAAGGGGAACAACTACAGCCATCGATCGTTAATACAGAATAAAAAGTCACATGTTTGGGAAATTAACTAAATTCACTGGCTCTGCTGTGCTGTCAACGAATGTCTATATACAATTAAAGATACACACGAACCCAACTCCCCCCAAAAAAACAAAAAAAAAACAGACCTACAATTCACCTTGTTTGTATCTTTACTTTAACTAACCTTTCAATTGATTGGTCCAAGAATACTAAGACATTACATTGATACGCCTTGAAGAAAGATATCTCTTTTATTCTTGTTGCTTTGACTTTCAGGATGATAAACAAATATATTTTGGAGCAGCGAAAATTCGATTTTTATTATAAGAGACAAATGCGAAGCTGAAACATGTTGAGCATAATACATTTACTATAACAAAAGGCCCATACAGTTGTATTCAAGATATATAAAAGTAACCACATGACATGAATAAAAATGCATTTGATATAGCAAAACGATTGTTTTAATTAATATTTTCGTGTTAGCTTAAGGGTTGTCAACTTTTGATTTCCAATATATTTTTTATACCGGCGTCTCGCACAGCTGAAAATGACAACATGTTATGAAATTTTTTTCGCATTCTTTTCTTGATAAGAAAAAAAGGAGTGCTACAGACAGTTAGCTTATTAAAGATGACATAATTTTTGTATGACGGTGAATTGTTTCATTTTAAAAAGTAAAAATCTAATCTAATTAACCCTGGGATTGACAAAAAAAAAATCCAATTTATTTTTCTTTTTTTTTCGCGGTTCCAGAAAATTAATTTTAAAAAAAATGTAATGTTTCCAAGACTACTTTAAAACGGTCATAAATTTCGTTTTAGTCAAAGTAAGACGGAAATTCTCCCCTGTCGTCATATCCGTCGTGTCTAAAAATAGCCACGCGCCCTTAATTTCACTTTCCGGTGTTGAAGATTGGTTCCGTTGACTGGAGACTTTCGATCGCTTTTCTGTCGTTCTCCGGAACGTTTTTTAAAGTCACCGAACACCGTGTAGCTGTTTTAAGCCTCTAGTACTTTTAACTTAAACTATACTAAGATGTGGACTGTCTATATTATCTTGGACGGGAAACTCTAAGATTAAAGAGTTCCCCTGTATTTTGAACCCCGGGATATTTAAACACAAACATCTTTATGATAGAGTAGGTTCACAAGGAAGATAGGTAGTCATTTCTCTGAAGGTGTATTGAAGCTACTGTTATTACTTGAAACTTGAATCGATATCCTAACAAGATGTTTGAACAAACAACCCGGTCTAGCGAAATAGGAACCTCACCCTCACCATTATACTGACACTTTCTTTGAGCCAAATCATAATTGCCACTCTTTTGTATAATAATAAAATAATATACATATGATATATCTATGCCTCACTCTCATTATCTCTCCTTTTCTCTCTCTTACATTCTCCCTCTCTCTCTCTCTCTCTATAAATATATATATATATATATATATATATATATATATATAAATATATACATATGCATATATATATATATATATATATATATATATATATATATATATATATATATATATATATATATATATAATGTGTGTGAACATGCATAAATCTCTCCCGCTATATGTATTCATATAAAGAGAGAGTAATGGAGAGAAAGAGAGCGAGAGGATAACGTCATATATATCGCTTTCTGTGCAATATGTTGATATACCCACACGATATATTGATATCTCTCACCAGGACCCCCGTTATAACGACGAAATGGGTAAAATCACGGGCTATCAGGCGGAAACCCTGCTCTGTATGCCGATCAAGAATGCCGACAACGACATAGTGGGCGTGGCACAGGCCTTGAACAAAAGCAAGGACGAGGGATTCAGCAAAGACGATGAAAAGGTACGTGTTAAACGTGAATTATCTCTACTATAACCAACTTTTTCGAATGAGAAATATTTAAAATGGTCAATGCTAGAAGGGTTTCTTTAATTGCAAGCACTCAATTTATTTATTTTTAAACATTTTTTAAAAATTTGTTCTCTTGGATATTTTAGAAAGTTCATTCAGTGCTGCTTTAAATGTTAAGACAGGTTTTAAATATAATTTGAGGAAACGAAATTATCTGCCCACGGGAAATCATTTTCTACAGATGAAGATCTGTCGATATTTTTTAAAAAAAGGCCACAACTTTTAGATTTTAAACGCATAACTTAATTAGATATGAGGAACGATTTGTGTGAGTGAGGAAACGAATTCTGAAACAACTCTAGAATTATAATTACAAAATAACAACAACAATAAAAAAAAAATGTATTGCGATACATACAATTTCCTGAAAATAATATACTTTCATTAAAAAAAGCTAATCATTTGTAGGCTTTACAAGCAGTTTCAAAGTTCAGAACACAAATTTGTATTGAATGACGTGTCATGTCCGGCGTAATTTTGAAAAAATAAAAAGATAATTAAAAAGTAATTAAAAATCTGGGTTCTATTACGTTCCTCCCACACGTCTCTCCATAACCAATCAGATTTCTTTCCGCTTGAGAGAAAGGTGCTGGTTGGACGGATATGTACTGCAGGCTAATTGAGGCTATTGGGATAAATAAGGATCTGAATCCACTCAATGTAATACTGGCTAATTGAGACTATTTTAGTCGAGATCAATATGGGCCTCAACGAACTAAAAGTCCTGGAGACAACTCGAAGCTATTGGAATCGTGATAAATAAGGATCTGCATTATAGGCTTTTGAAAAATTCAAAGTAGAAAAAGTACCACTTCCGGTTATCGGAAATCGCTCAAAAGTTGATACGGATCTACCTAGCTGTAACGGCACTCAATGTAGTCTTATTTCACTAGTTGTAAGTTCCTTAGACTAACCTTATGCTTAAAAAAAGTGAAGAATTGGGATTTGAACCTACGGATCATACTCTGAATTCAGCAACATTTTTACTCTGATAGTAGTAAAACGAAATAGCTAATCCCTGCGAAAATAACTATTTACTAAGACATTTTAATTTCGATGAACGCGGGCAAAAATGTAGTTCTAGTATTGAAAAGAAATGTAAAGTTACACTTTCTGACCTGACGATTTCGAGTTCACCTGATTCTTTGACTTCGTTTTCTCTTTCACCTTGTACCTAACCTATCCTTTCACTGATTTAAATCCCGAATCTATATCAGAAAATAACGCATGCATTTTTTCATATAGGGGTTTAGTGTTATTTTTAAACAACATTATACTAAGTATTCAAGGCTTAAATAACTTCATGCATAATAATTATTTTATAACCGTCTGTGACTGACTGGCCGATTTAATGTAAAAATATTTAAGAATAGCGAGACATTTGCACGAAAAACTTCCAGAATATGGAACACTTTTTTTTTCTTATCTAGATAGCAAAACTACCCACAGCGCCCCGGGGAAAAATAAGATGAGCGCTTTTCAAAAATATCATCTCCCTTTAATGGCCCAGACCGAGGCTGATACCAGGGGCCGAGACCACTATCAGAGCTGTGGTTTGTTAAACTGATTACTCTGGGCAATTTTCAAACCAGTTGATAGAATGAATACCGGGGTGGGTGTATGGATGGGGAGGGGGAAGGGAAAGGGGGGGGGGAGTGAGTGAATAAAAAGTGGATATTTTCTCCAGTATGGAAAACTGTCTGTCTAACGTCTCGTCACGTCGTTGCTTTAAGTTTGGAGAGTTTGCGAGATGTGGGGTTCAAGCACCTAAGAGATTCGCTTAGAGATTATTCTTTTCTAGTCATAATCTCTAAGGCAAATTGTGTTTAAGTGAACTTGTCGAAGGTTGGGTTGTTTGTGAATCTCGATGCGTCTTGTACAAGTTGAATAAAATGTGGTACAAAGTATTAAAATAATTCCATTTTTACCTTTACAAAAAAACGTGTTGCAATACTTTATTTCAAAAGTTTAATTATGTATAAACAACTATATTTACAGTTAATTTTTTATCTTTCTCTTGTAGCAATAGAATACTTCCATATTTATTTAAAAAAAAACATGTTTTAAATTGTCGTTGGCTAAAGAATAAATAACAAAAATAATAACAAAAAACTAAAAAAAAATTTCCACTACAATCTAGCAAACACATTTTACTGTCTAACAACATAAAAAGTCCATTTTCCTGGTTCTGAAATCGAGGCTGTAATTACAATAAATTAATTGAAGGTCTAGAAAGAAATGATATTGACGTCACTAGCTTTTATTGTTAGAAGAGAAATTGTGATAATGGATGACTCTGTCGTCTGCTAGTTAATTGACTGCATTTGTTAACTGACTGCATTTGTTAACTGACTTTAATTGTTAACTGACTGCATTGGTTAGTTTTTAGAGATATTGATGGTGCTACTTTAAAAACCATCGTTTTTTATCGGGAATTCCATACTGGAAATTTTTCAAATGTACTGTCTGACAAAATAACATCGTTTAGATTAGTCATAATTGATTTTAATGAACTTAACTGTTAACTGAATTAGGTAGATATTTTTTAAATCTTGAAATTAGACTATTAGTGCGAATCACTTTTATTAAATCCATTTGAAATCAATACATCAAGTAATGAATATAGTCAGTGGAAAAGTTCACTATGGGCCGAATTATGGTTAATTATTCTTTAACGAGAGCAAACATAAGCCAATAAAATAATTAATCTCTTCACATTTGGCGCCTTTTCAAATGATTTTTTAATGTTTGCTCTAAGCGTAGGCTTAATTAACCATCAAGTTAAAAAGTGATTCACCCTGTAATTAAATTGCGACTGTAACTTACTGTAAAACATTTTTAAAATACTTAAACTTATTTATTCAACATTTTGGAAAAATATCTGAACTAAACTGTATTTTACTATCAGTATAACTAATGTTGTAATATTGCAACAGAATACTTTGAAACGAAGTCCTTTAAAAAAATAGTTTGTAAAAGCTAATGGTTTGGTGTTAGTCCGAGTGGTCAGTTATAACCTAATATAAGCATCCTCCATCTAAAAGAGTCTGATTGGCCAAAGCTGCTTCATGCTAACTACGTTAGCGAAATGTGTAGACCAGGGGTCGGCAACCTGCGGCTCGCGAGCCGCATGCGGCTCTTTTGATATCAAGATGCGGCTCTCCAGCTCCTTGAACAAATACTAATAATCTTAAAAAAAATAATTGAAATTTAAAAATGTCAGTGGCTCTTTAAAACCAGGGAAATTTTGAAAATTGTAACTTTTGGCTCTTCCGCTTCAAAGGGTTGCCGACCCCTGGTGTAGACCAATTACGTTATAACAGGAATACATGGGACACTACACATGAACTATGAAAAGGCGGCTCTCTAATGTTTGATACTAACAACACATTGATAGAAACATTTGACTCCAGAGGTAGAATAACAAAAGCCAGTTCAACCCTGTCTGGAATACATGGTACATGAAAACAACAAAACAATATGCTGGCAGCATGATATACTTCTTTAGACACATGCATAGTCTCTATCAGGCATTTCTTCGGGGGATGGGGGCTTAGCCCCCCCCCCCCCCCCGTAGAAAGTCTACCGCCCACCCCACCCCCCCCCCCCTTCTGAACGACATGGAATTTATATGGAAAACATACTTTTACCAGTATATAAACCGACATGATCAGGAAAGATGTAGAATTTGAATCAATGAGGCAGCTGATAAGATGTACAAAAACCAGTATCGATGTATACATTTAAAAAACGGAGACTGCTATAATTGGGTCTTCTTGAAAGTTTGTCAAATCAAAGATGGGTTTAAAGTAGTGTATGACCAAAACAACAAAGTAATATGATTTAAAATAACATACATCGACTCAGATGGAAAATGTGGAAAGACCTAGAATGGAAGAAGTGCTGACTGTTTAAAGCTCTTTACGGGCAATAGAGCCACAGGCATGGATGTAAAACAAAACAAAAAATGAGATTCCGTCTTCGAATAATGAACAGACAAGAAACAAAAAATTGAAATAAAATGTAATTTAATTATTTTTTCAAGAGGTTAATGGATAAAAGTGTTTATGTAAATTGGAAGAATCGTTTAATTTTTATGTTCAATTAGCTTTCTTCGTTTAGAGATCGCTGTGGTTAGAAATGTGTGGGAAGTTGACATGAAGAAATTAAGGGTAGAAATCGATCAAGTCGACATTTAAAATGTAGACTGAGAACACTGGGGAAAAAATGAGAAAACATTTCCAATAAATTACCTATATATATATATATATATATATATATATAGTGAAGGAACAGAAGTATATTGCTAATTCGCTAGTGATTGGTTTTTAATAATAACACAGTTACATAATATAGCAAATGAATATCTGATACACGTTTTATGTTGCATGTGTTGTGCAACTCAAAGACATTCTTTGAGTACGATGGCACTTAACTTACACCGGCTGGTAGATAGTGAAAGTACGACTTGATTAAATTAGTAAAGCCATTAGCTAAAGCCGTTACCATAATGGCTGTTTATGTAGCCTCCGCACGGAAAATCACAAATAAACAAACACACAGACACACACAACACCGGACTGTCTCGACAAGGTCAAACTGTACTACTAGACCAACCCGTCCTGTATAATGATCTTTGTTCTGATAATTATTTTATACGAAAGCTCCCTCTGTTTTAATGTATAACCTTCACGATTATATAACCTTTTAATTTATTCCTCAGATGTTGGCTACATATTTGACGTTCTGTGGAATCGGCATCCATAATGCTCAAATTTTTGACGCGTATTCTAAAGAGTACGAGCGAAATAGGGTAAGTAACTACAAATATATATCGCAATCCACACTTAGATGTTCTATCATCATATCCAACGTAAGTCAATTACCGCGTCATGAAGGAATCACACGCCTTATGTAAATGTAATTTTTAATTTCACTGCATGTGATTTGAAAACGAGTTGAAATATTCTTGGTTGTACAACCAGATGTAGACAAAAAGCACCAATTTTAAAATGTTCATGTAGGTCTATTATAAGCAAAAAATGATGGTGGCCTAGCGGTAGAGAGCTATACTGCTAATCAAGTTCGAATCTTGGTTCAAGTCATTAGACCGTCCCTGAGTTCACTCAGCATTAATGGGTACCTAACTTAGGGAAAGTAAAAGCGCCTGGACACAGCTTTGACCCCATCATATGCCGTGGTCACAGAAACTCAACCTCGCTTGCCCCATAGACCGTCAGTTTTGAAATGGGAACGTTACTTTTTATAACCAACAGCTTAAGACCATATTTAAAAGACATCACCTAAGTCTGTATGTGACTTCTTATTGTGTAACAATAGAACTTGTAAGTCTCGGTTTCTCTCGAATAAAATTCGAAATCTCGTCAGCCAGAGAGAGATTTAAATTTTCGAACAAAATACATTTTTTACCATGCTTCCCATTTACGATTTTAAGTAACTCAACTAGAGCAGGGTAACTTTTCTATTATTTTTTTTTATTGATTGAATAAAAAAAAAATTAAGATATGCTATCAGGCAATTACGAGAACAAGAAGATGGTGAACTACTTACAAGCCCTATTATTGTATGTTGTGGAAGTTTTAATTTGGGATGAATAACATACACGTTTGAATCCAGGTTGTTTGTGCCACGTTTCAATAATTTTTAAGCTAGTCATTATTGGGTCGATAATGTGTTACAGGTAAGCCTGTATTGAAGCTAGTCATTTTTAGACCGATGATGTGTTACTCGTAATCCTGTATTGATGTACAATTTTGTTGGTATTGGTAGCCAACAGAGTTTCTTCCAGGCATCTCTTCGGGGGGGGCTTCGCCCCCCCGAAAATTTTTTACCGCCCCCCCGAACGAAATGAAATTTATATAATTTATATAGAAAATATATACTTTTAACAGTGTCCGCCCCCCCCCGAAGAAAGTTTACCGCCCCCCCCCCGAAGATTTCAAGTGCCCCCCCGGAGAAAAAAGTCTGGAAGAAACACTGGTAGCCAAACTTATTCTATTCATTAGCCACTAACCTTAACCCTAAACCTAACTATCCCTAAACTACATCATAACCTAGAAATGCAATACTCAACCTAGGAAAGTGCTTTATAAGAGAATGTATTGCCCTACAAAATAAATTGAAGTGTGCATTAACCCTTTATCTCCTATTTTATCTCTTTTTGTAAGTATGTGTTTAATATTTCAAACCTATTTCAAGACTAATCTAATTAAGTTTGTTATCTATTTCGCTTCCATATTTTAATTTAGGAACTAATTTAAGCCTAAACTAATTATGTGCCCCGTCCCATTAATAATTTTTTGCTGCTGTTATTTTTAAAATTCCGTGCCGTGCATGTTTATAAATGGCTCTTTGTGTATTCAGCAAAAAGGAATATCCAGCAGAAATCACATTTCCCAACAACACGTGTATTTGTAAAACTGAAAACATCATGTAAATGTAATGATCGGACAAATCGTCTAAAGAAAAAAAAAAAAAAGTAAAAAAAATCAAGCGATTTCCTGTTGTACTCAGCAAATTGCAGTACTCAGCAGAAAAAAACATTTTCAATCTAAAAATAAATTTTCAAGCTGGAAATAACATGCATTGATCAGTCTAGTGTTGCAATAAGGGCGAATCTTGGGTGAGAATGAGATTAAAATCAAACACTTTCTGAACGCAATTTGCACAGCAAAATTTTTTTGTATTGCTTAAAGCAAGTAAAAACCCGGGGGGTTCTAGGGGTGTGTGTGTGTTGGGGAGGGGGGGGGGTGGCATGCTAAGCTGTAAGAAAATTTTTTCTTTAATAATGGATTTCGGATGGGCATGTCTGCATATGGCACGCTGTGGGCCGCCTTAAAGGATTTGATGGGATTTTTGGGATTGACGCAAACGGGAGCAGCGTATTCCAAATCGAGGTGATAAGGATAACGGGATGATGGGATTAAACTATGATATTTTCGTGTTTCCGATCACGTTTTTGTCCAACAACGTAGACGTATTTACATGTGTAGATTGCAGTTGTCATGATGTATTTTGTAGTACAGTTACACCGTGTTTTTGGTAGTTCCTTTTACCCTTTCAAATATTGCAAAAAAGGCATCCTCAAATTGATAATCAAGAACAAAAAAAAAAGATAATGATTCGAAATAAAGTGTCGATCAAACTAAAAGTTCACTATAGATTTTATATTTTTTAAAGTAAAGATATAAGAGTCGTGTATTTAACTTAGTTCTTCATAAAAAATATTTTAAATTTCTGCAAGGTTTGAAAAAGTTTAAAGAGAACTTCTTGTATAGTAGAATTCACACACAGATGTTTCAATGTGGGTTTTATTTCAGAAAAATAACGTAATTCTTTCTAAGAAGTGATTGCTCATCTAACTAATTAAATACACTAATTAACCTTGCATAATTTTTTTATCCTACCCGAGGTGTCCATCTGCATAAATTATCTTGCGTGACGTCAGTGGCAGAAAAACAATACAAATATGTAAAAAAAAAACGGCATGGAAAAATTGATCTGGCTCATCTCAAATAACTAGGAATTTATGTTCGAATTTGCCAAGCAAAATATAAGTTGTGTGATTGTTTCATTGTTCTATTTTATTTTTTAAGAAGTGTCTATGCGTAGTATAAACATTTCTTATTTGTATTGTTATTATCTTTTACTTTAGATAACTGGGTAAGTAAGTTATATCCCTGTTTGAGGGCTAATCCCTCGTTTCTAGAGATGGTTTAATTCTATCATTTGAATATAATCGTTGCGACTGAATTGGAAGTTCAAAATACAAAAATAATAAAATACATTAGAGTGTTAAAATAAATTTATTCAGAGAAGTTGATTTAGTGTTTGAAAAAAAAATATAGTTGCACGTTCTTCTTTTTACAAAATGTAAAAGTAACCATTTTGAATCTAGTGGTCCTTGATGTTAGGTAGATGAAGTAGAGTTCACCTGTTTCTTTGACCTAAAAACATGCAATTCAAGGGCCTGGTCTAGCAGTTGGTCTATTGGTCGTTAGATATGTGGTCTATTTGGATAATGAGCATCGATCGAGCCAGTTATGACAATGTAAATGAGAGATACAGATAGATAAATAGAGAGAGGGAGAGAGCGAGAGAGCGTGGAATTTAAAGAGGCAATCTATGTTAAAAATCAGATGAGCACGAGAGACCGGTAGAAGAATAGACTTAAAAAGCTAATTCCAAATGGTTTTAAATGGTTTTTGCCAGAAAGAATAATTTTTTAAAAAAGTGAATTTTTAAATATTTGTGTAATAAGTACAAATTGACTTCCGCTTTTTAAGGCTAGAAATATGCAAACAAAAAAATAATTACTAGAAATATAATTGTAATTTAGCAAACACTTGTATTTCTAATTTGGAGTAGTAGAGTCAGGGTGTTGTGGTGATAGGGGATGTTATATTATTTAATATAAATACATTCCTTGGCGAAACCCCACGTACCAATATTGTGTATTATATCATGGAAAACAATTGTTCTGACTTGTTTTACTCTCCCTGGCATTCCAGTTGACTTCAATGAGGGGTCGAGGGTGATATTTAAAGTATTTGAATTGATATAATAATTCTAAACAACTTTTCAACGTCTTATATTCAATACAAAAATATGTAAATGAGTATAATCGATGGTTCCCAAATATTTTAGAAAATATCTTTTCAAACATTTAGTTATTACATCGACTTTTCAAGCCTATTGTCCAAAATTCTCATATACATTAACCTCCCGCACGGTAGAAACCAAAACACTGGTTTAGGTCAGTGACCTTACAGTCCTATAACCATGCCATAACTAATGAATTGTTAATAAGTCAAATCCTCCACCATTGCTGGCATTGCCTCGTTAAGACACTTTTCGAGTCTCTCGCTAGCGGGATAGTTTGAGAGATCGTGACAGGTTATGGGGATGATTTTAAGGGCTAATTATGGGGACCAAGAATCATTTTCAGGGTTCCCTGTGAGAAACATAATTGACTAGGGATTCAATTTGGGGTTCCTCGTGGGGAGCGACGATTTTGTGGCTTTTTATAAGCTTTTATTTAACTCACTTCCTCGTCAGTCTGTCTAGATCGAAACGCCGGAGTGAAAATTCGGACACTTCTACTTGACCGATACGATTCACACTTGGCACGTGGGTCAAGACATGAAGACAATGCAATCTGGAATTTAATTTGACTTAATTGGATGCCTAATTAATTTATGTTTTCGGAAGACTGAGTGCTCAATATGGAGGACCAAATACGTTGATGGTTTATTATGGGGAAAATGAACGCGTTTGAGGATTTATTATAGGGAACCAACCACTTTAATGGTTCATTATATGGAACATGGACGTCTTTAAGGGTTCATTATGTGGAATATGGACGACTTTAAGGGTTCATTATGGAAACATGGACGACTTTAGGGGTTCAGTATGTGGAATATGGACGACTTTAATGGTTTATTATGGAAAAATGGACGACTTTAAGGTTCCATTATGTGGAAATTGGACGACTCGCTGGGTTCGTTGTGGGGAACATGGACGTCTTTAAGGGTTCGTTGTGGGGAACATTGACGACTTTAAGGGTTCGTTGTGGGGAACATTGACGACTTTAAGGGTTCGTTGTGTGGAACATTGACGACTTCAAGGGTTCGTTGTGGGGAGCATGGACGTCTTTAAGGATTTATTATGGGGAACGTGGACGACTTTAGGGGTTCCTTATGTGGAACATGGACGTCTTTAAGGATTTAATATGTGGAACATGGACGTCTTTAAGGATTTAATATGTGGAACATGGACGTCTTTAAGGATTTA